ACGACAGCGACGTCGCTTCAGTCGCAGCTTGCCAGAAGGAAGGACCTCTTTTGAGGCCCCTCCTCAAATACATATATGGGGCCGTCAATCGACAAGAACTCCGCCTCTTCAACAAGCAAGAGGTTTAGAAGCAGTAATTGACCAGACGGCAGTTATGATAATACTACAAGGGAATTTTCCACGAGAGGTAGCCTTTGAATTGGCAAAGGCAAAGGTACATGAGAAGAAAACCTGGTCAATTCAGAAATGATTCAATCACTCCATGAGTTACTTGAAGAGAAGAAATGCCTTGAAGAGAGGAATGGACGGAGAAGTTATGAGCAAAGACGGACCTCTAAGGTAAACGAAGAGTCCCCCAAAGGCAAACGGTATGTCAGACAACGGAAGAAAGAGGAAAGACGGGTGGAAAATCCTGCGTTTTATGCAGAGGTAATCATTTTAATAATGGTAGTAATGTATATAAGACGTTAGACCTACGTAAAAAACGGGCCTACGAGTTACGGCTTTGCCTTAAATGTTTACAAGCCAATCATAAATTTAAATATTGCGCAATGTTATTTTTGTCTGAAAAATCATAATAGTGGTTTTTGTGACCGTTTTGGCAACCAAGTTCAAAATGAACGAAAGACGAGCGAGGAAAATGAGAGAACTGGAAATCAAATGGCAACAGTGCAAAGTGACAGTGTTGACGAGAGAAGTATTAAAGAAATTGTAGAGTAAATTGTAGGTCGTGAAAGCTATAGCAAAGGATTCAAATAAACCTTGAAAAAGGCTAAAGTACGTGTGCTCTTTGATACTAGAAGTCTTTGATACTGGTCATTTATGTCCAAGTCTTTAGCCAAACGATTGGACGTTCCTATATTTAATCATAAACATCTTACGTTGCATACGTTTGCAGCTCGTGATTCAACGCAATGTGAGTTGTCCAAGTTGGATTCAGTGTTGTAAAAGAAATGACGTCGATGATGAACGTACGATTTATTTGTAATACTGGCAAAGCTTTAACCGCTCAAAAGGTTCATCTGACACGTTATATGGAGTGAATTACTGCTGGGATCTCACTGAGATGGGCTTAAAGAAGATTAAAGATGGTTTCTATGTAATGCTAACGAAATTGGATGAGATAATAACAGATAAAAAAAGAAAGGTTAATAACGGGTGTCAATTCAGTGAATAATGCGATTGCCTGTTATATTTTTGCAGATGACGTCGAATTCTTTTGGGGTATCAAAAGTTTAGGCATACGAGAATCCCCGATGTTAAACGACGATAATGAAGCTCTCAAGAAATTCCATCGTACACTTGTGTTTTGAGACCACCGTTATATAGTAAGTTGGTCACGCAAAACTCTGGAGAGCCTTATAGCCGACAACTATTAGTTGTGTTGTGCACATCTCAAAAGTGTTTACAACAGGCTAAGAAAAGATGACTTGTTAGGGAAATATGATGAGATTATAAAGGACGAGTTTTCCGAAATAATTATTGAAGAAATACCTAAGATACAGTCCCGTCATATGATTTCATATCTACCACACCACCTGATAGTGACACCGAGTAAACAAACTACGAAAGTAAGAATAGTATTTGATGCATACGCAAAGTCTCCTAAAAATGATTTAAGTTTAAATAAAAGTTTATGTCGAGGTTCAGTTTTATTACATGACTTATGCGGTATTCTGCTGCGATTTTGAATGTGTAAAATACAATTTTATAGCGGATATTAAAAAAGCCACTTTACAAATTGAATTACACGGGAAAGCTCGCGACGTAAAGAGGTTTCTATGGCTCAAGGATTTATCTTCAGGCTTGCAGCCTAAAAATATTATTGTATATCGTTTTAAAAGAGTAGCCTTTACAGTAATTTCTGGTCTATTCTTGCCAATTGTCACAGTATCGTGCCATTTGGAAAAGGAAGCATTTGAAGCTTTGAACGATGGCAAACAGAAGGCAGAATGGCTGCTAAAGTTAAAACGTCAAATTATGTCGACAGTCTTATTGTAGGATGTAATGATTACTCTGAGATCAGTTATCTATATAAAACGGTTAAAGAACTTTTCAGCAGAGCTGCTGTTAATGTGCAGTCCTGAACATCCAATTATCCTAGATATCAAGGGTTTATTCCGCAAGAGAATTCTGATAAAGAAAATGCACCAGAAGTACTTGAAATTACATGGGAATTGGAAAAAGAAAAGTTAGAAATATATTTCAGTAGACCAAGATGAAGGTGATAAAGTAAATAAAAGACCGATTCTAACGCGTTTAGCTCAAAACTACGATCCGCTTGAATTGTCGGCGCTGGTAAACCTAAAAGCAAAGCTCTTGGTCTAATCATTAGAGAACATCAGTAAGTCGGGAGTGAAGAAGAATTGGAAACTTCTTTGCAGCTTTTATTTCCTCATATTGCATCGCAGATGCTGTGTAGCTGCAAGAAAAAGCAGCCTGTTCTTTACAGGAAGAAAATTGGGGAAACAGACTGATACAGAGTACCAAAAGAGGAAAAACAGCAGTATTCAACTTCAGCTTTAAAGTTCTACAAAGCGAGTTAGGAGGAGCCACTATATGTTGATTTTTGGGCACGTGATAAAACTTTACAAGTATGGAAATGACAGTTATAGAACATCTAAGCTAAGTTTGAGTTTCAAAAAGGTTGTTTTTTTTTTACTAAGTTTCAAACACCAACTTCTTTCTCAGCAAGCGTTGTTCTTTGACAGCTTTAATTAGCTTCTCTTATCTATTTGATAACCGACTAAGTTTTTGAGTTAAAACATTATTATCTATTGCAGTCATTTATTCTTTGTACATCTCCACTTGAATAAATAACCTGTTTACTTTTTCTGCTTGCTGTATTGTATTTCGTCGTTTTCCCCCAAAATTTATAATAACTTTACAGAAGAAAAGTAATGAGGTCATGTTCAAATTTTATAGCGGCCAGCTTTTATCACCTGTCTTAGCCCTCTTATTACAGTCGTTGCTCAACTTTTTCATTGAAATTTACTTCAGTCTTTGAAATTTTTTAAAAACTAGAGGGTAGATGAATTTTATTTTTTTTTTTTTTGTAAAATTTTTTGTGAAATTTAAGGGTTCAGTTGCAGGTGACTGTACGCGTTAACTAGGGCTTACTTTTTGAAACACAGCTTAGCAGAATAATCTTTTTTGATTATCTACTGATTTTTGTTGAAAATGAGTCTTATTATTGTTGAAATAGAAGAATACATTGAATTAAATAGTTTTCAAGTTCAAGCACCTTTCTCGTCAAGCGGGAAAGTTTCTGGTTCTCGAGCGAATCTCAAGTGGATACCTGAGTTGTTACCTGTGATTGCCCTATGGACTATTCTTTTAAGCAGCAGAATGCTGCTGTTGGTGAACTATCAGGTTACCTTCAACGAAAAAATTTTTTTGCTTTTAATGATACCTAATTTTTGAGGATTGAACGCAACATTTTGCGTGTTTTTATTTAAAAGATAATTTCTTCAAAATTTTGAAAGCTGTTGACTTCTGTTTTTTTTCAACGGTCATGAATTACTTCAGGCTTTAGGAGTGCTTCAAACATTCTGAAACTTTTTGATACAGGTATGAAGTGACAATGATTTTATTCCCAAAACTGGATGAACGTTTGCTCGTATCGCCTCATACCGTTCGGTTATGTTACTCAAAGAACCGTAACCCTATAAGTAGCCGTAGTTTAAGTCTTCATTTAGCTACAGCTGAATTCTTAAATTCTATAAAAAAAGTCTTGCAAAAGAGGAGAATATAAAATTTAGTCAGAAGGACAACCACAAGCAATTACTTTTTTTAAAAAATATCTTGAACAAAAGTTTGACTGTTGAAAAACACTGCGCAATTAAGTGTTAGGAGGTACTTTGGAAAGCAGTTGCACAATTCGAGTCGTTTCGCGCACTTCTAAGCTTATAAAAGTTTTCATTGTTTTTTTAAATTTTTTAGATTATTATTTTTTTAAATAAAAGTTTTAAATTTGTAATTCTTTGCATAACTTTTATCTGGATTTAATGAAGACTGCGTGGTTTTATCAATTGAAGTTTGGTCTAAAAAGATTTCCTGAACTGTTTTTTTTCTTGGAAGATGAGGAGAATTTT